ATATTATTATTAATGAAAAAATGAAAAATATTAAAATGAATAATTAATAGATATGCTTTAGGACGAACCTAAATTATTTTCAAACATTAGTACAACATAGCCGTTTTTAGTAGAATAATTTATACTAATTTGTTATATTAATATATATATCATAACCTGGAAAAGACAATTAGAAAATGATAAAACTGATAAATTAATGTTCGATACTCAGAGAATTAATATTATAATGTAAGGAAAATATATATATCAATGAAATATAAGTAGAGGTTGAAAGCGAAATACAGGTGTAGAACGTCTGCATCATCTCGAGTAATAAAAACAAAAAGCCTTTTCTGGAATCCAAGCCATTCTATCGGTGCAATCTCCACAAATCCCATGAGACGTTCATCTAGGTGAAGTCTAGAGTAGCGACTCAACATCGAGTAGAAAGCTGACAATTCCTCAAATAATGATTCGCGGTGAGCAACCAATGAGAGAGCGTTTCACTCTAACGCCTCATCACTATGATTGCACCACGTTTTTCATTGGAGAACGTAGCGGATTGATATCACTAAATGCGAAAAAGCAAAGGTAAACACGTGCGTTTGCACTTATGTGAGGGTAAGGAAGGTAGGGGAGAAGAGAAAATCACGGGTGGTGTCTTATAGTGGTTCTCTCTCGTCACGGAAATCTAGCAGGCGTTCTAGCAAGCGGAGGAGGTTGAATACATTTGAGGTTATTTCTAGATCGACCCAGATCCATTGTGGACGCATCACAAGTTCCGTCGACCCTCTCTTTTTCTCGCTTACTTTCCTTCTCTAGTATTTGCAGAGCCACATAGGCATACAGAGTTAGGGAGGAGAGACGAACGCTTTAGACTGTTTCAGGTAATTAGCGGGTTGCGCGCCTGCCAAAGTACTCGTGTTGCAAGTATATGATATTATTCTGAAAACAATTGCCTAATGACGTGACAGTTGACGTGTAACACCGGTAACCTAAATTTTCTGCAGTTGTAACTGACGTTTCCGTCAATTTTTAAATAACGCTTGTCGCAATCCAAACGACTGCATATGATTGCTCAGCGTTATAACTTTCACGTTTTAATGAATTATTTGTTCGATCATTTCATCACTAGAATTTAGCAACCAGTTCATTTCAGATTATCTGTCCTTTTTTAATCATTCAATTTTAAATGAAATATTAATTCTTTTCTTGTCAAAAAGCAATAATCAAAATCGATGCAATATTGAATCTTTATGAAACTCCAATTAACAGTTTATTTTAAATTTCGAAACACGTGAAGTTACATTTCCAGTAAGCAACAAGATAATATAATAATTTATAAGAAAATAATTCTGTTAACTGACAAAATATAATTTGCTTTGTCAATAAAAATTGCCCGTTAAATGTATAATACTAAAAAGCATGCAGTAATTATTGTAGTCATTTTTAAACAGACTTGTCTATAAAATTAGTTTTATAACTTTAATTAGAATATGAAGGAGTATGCGGTCTAATCCAACACTTAAGAAAATTGAATAGTACTATAATTATATAAAAGTCGATTTTATATGGTAAACATCTATTATATTAAAACCCGTAATAAATATGTTATTCAAAAAATAAATTTTATTTATATAATTCCTTAGAGTATAAGAATATCAATAAAACAGTTTTCATTTACTCTAAAATTTAAAAATCACATTTTATGGGAAATATTTTGTATAATTATATATACAACACATAATCCATCTTTTAATGCATTTTAATTGGTGTTAATTTCATCTTTGGTTTTAAGAAGGACAGCTAAGTGTTTTTTTTTTAATTATAGATTTTATTATAGCGTAAATAATAGTATAAATATTATATGCCTTTCATATAGTCTGCTGATAAACGAATTCTCATTCCAAAACCCGTATTTTTAACTGATTACGATTTGAGATAACAACAATATTTCAGATAAATAATTTCTATAAGTAATAATTGAAAAATCATTCATATTCTTAATGTATCCTAAATTATTTGTATAGATTTATTAGTAATAAAATAATATTTTAAAGAGAAATTAATGAGACATGAAATAATAATAATAAATATATTCAAAGAATGAATGTAAAACAATTAATAGAAATTAAATCATTTTTTAATATTAAAAAGGAGGTTTTGAAAAGTAAAAAGTTTGATGATAAATGTTACAAAAGGTTAAATTCCAATTTCTCAATTGTATTTAATAAATATAAAACCAATAACTAAATTATATGAAAGCACTTGTTTTGTTTTTTTTATCTATGATTGTCAACAAATTATAAGCTATAATTTTATACATTATTTATGAATTTTAATTATTAATATTTTTTTAATACATATGCATATTTCATTATGAAAACATCAGTAACAAATAAATGCTTTAGAATTTGGATTTAAAAATATTGAATTAGTGATATTCTATATCTTTTTGCAGATAATCAATTTAATACTTAAATTCAGTCTAATAAATTTAAAGATGTTCAACGAATGGGTGGTAGTCTGTATGTAGATGAGTGATCAGATAAGAGATAAACTGAGAGAGAGAGAGAGAGAGAGAGAGAGAGAGAAAGTGTAAAGTGAAAATTAGGTATAGATGTTGACAAAATCAATGGTAATACCTGTGCATAAATACATATGCGAATACTCAAGTTGTTTTACCATTGAATTTACATTTCATCTTTGTATGTCATATAATATATACTAAGAGTTATTCAAGTTAATATCAATCAATTGTAACAGACACAAGTTTGGTTTAAAACAGAAATATTGTCATGTGTACTGTAATGTGTGAGCTTCAAATGTACCTGCCTAGTATGTTTTTATAAAAAATGTTATACTTAATCGATTTTTTATAGACCCATACTTTGGCAGCCTATCTACTTATATTATTATGTAAATAGTTACCTAATCGGTAAATTTATACTGTCGAACTTGCTCACCGTTCATTAAATAATTAATATAAAAATAATTAATATTTATGTTAACAATGTCATATGACCTAAATTGTTTACAAATAATTATATTAAACCGAAATTAAATTAATTTAATTTTTAACTAGGCATAAATGCAATTCAATAAAAAATTATAATACTTTTTTAATAACAGCGTATTAAAATGATCTGGAATACTCTAACAAAAATATAGTTTTAAATTATATACCAATAACATATTACCAAGTTTTTTTTAATCATTATATTTGCATACGTATTGAATGCATTTGTCACGAATTAAAAATGTATAAATTATTGTATATAAAAATTAAGTTTGAATGTATAATTAATAAAATTAATGTTGAAGATAATATTTTCAAAAGAATATTTTTAATTGTGAAAAATTGTGTTTTGAACTAATTGCAAATATTAAACAATATTCTATAAATCATTCAAGTATAATAGTATGCAGATTAGTAATTTTTTATAAAACCAATATTCAGTAATTATTTAAATTTTATTCCATATTATAATTATATATTATAATTTCACTTCTAACTGCATTTGATTGTAAGCGTAAGGACGAAAAATGGGCAAAATTTTTCGCATCTTTCTCTTTTTTTAAAGATCTTTTAATGTAAGCATTTTACTTTCTGTTTTCTCTTTGTATCTCTCCATTATCGTCCCAAGTAAATTGTAACCGATTATTCTCAAAGAGAATGAATGGCTCATGATAAACACAAGTTTAACAATGTGTTTATAGCTGATGTCATTGTAAGGCCGGTATATTATCATTATTCAATCGTTTATGGGGTCAGAGTGCTCAAAAGACTTGAATATTGGTGCAATATCCTCATACAATCACTTTGATCGATATACCTCGCGCAAAATACAATATCAATCTTATTTTAATGCATAAAGATGTTTAATGTATGTGATTTTTTATTGTACGATGTAGAAGGCTTGATTAATTGTAACACATTGTGGATGGATTCACATTATCTCTTCAGTACACGTCCGTCGTAAGACTCATCGTTATCGTCTCTCGTCATCGTTGCATTTCCTCCTGTAGTTGTCAGTTCAATAGTTATTAGGATAAATATTAATTAAAATAATTAATAAAAATAATTTTAAAAAATTCTGAAATAATTTATTTTAGCAATGCCAAAATACTATTCATTACCAAAATATCCATGGATCAACATGAATGATTATGATTTCAATAAAATATCAAATAATAAAAAATAAATACATTTTATATAATTTTTTTTTATTCATATATTATTGAAATTTATATATATTATTTGAAATGAATTCGATATTATTTGAAAGAATTAAACGAAATTTCTTTTTTTAAATTTATAAAAATTTGAATAAATAATTTTATATTATTGTATTTACGTACATAACATATTCTTTAAAATTTAACGCAAAATTCTTGATAGCTCTTCATATTTATTTTATATTAGTTATTTTAACATACAAGGTTAATGCACAAATCTGTTGATGCAGCACGCGACTGACCTAGTAAAATTATACAAGACAATGTTAACAATAGATATTCTTATAAGAAATAAAAATTATTACTTGCCAATAATTATATTATAAAAAGTTTATTTAAATTAAATATTTATAAGAATTATTAATATATAGTATAAATAAATTATTAGAAATATACAGGAATGAAAGATTTTTTTAGTAACAATTTGGAAAGACTATGGAAATTAATTATCTAATGATAAGATTAACAGAGCAAAAAAAGTTATACTAAACGATTGATGTTAAAATTGCTTTCACATATTTAAAAATATGGAAAATTTTTTATAAAAATTATGTATACGAGCATTACACGACTGCAAAGATTTTCTACAAAACTTGGCTAGTGGATACCGATGAGATCCAAAAACTTCTACATCTCTCTCACTCTCTCTTTCTTTGTCGCTCTCTCTGTTGCTGGCACTATGTGTAACGCATTGCATTGCACGCGCGCTTCGATATTACATAATGCGGTTATGCGAAAACGCGCATGCAGCGCAAGAAGGACGCAGTGATACTTGCGAAGGTGAGCCACCGAGTGAGAGCATGACTATGCGATTGTGTAGGTGGAAAAGGAGAGCGAAATGAGTCACTGCAAGCCAAAAATACAAAATTCTCCTTCTCCCTACTCTTGTATTCGAACTAAACCAGCGTCACTTGCCTCCGCAACTGTTTCGTTATAATTTGCGACGTTAGTTCGCGCGTGTGCCTCTTTTTTTCTCCCGCCTCGACCTCCCTTTTAACGCGACATCAAGGAAGAAACGAGAAGACAACTCATGTGCGAAAAAGAGAAAGCGATTCTGCCGGGGGTGGCGAAGGAGTACATGCAAAAAGACATCGAGTAACAGCAGCAGCAGCAGCAAGAAAAGAGAAAGCTACGTTGACAATGACAGATTAAAGACCAATAATTAATAAAAATGAAAATGAACGACCGAAAGTAAGGATAAAACTACGTATAAATAATTCAGACATTTATTAGTTTTTGCTATTCCTCGTTTTCTAATTCATCCCTAAGGATATATAATATAAGATATACTGTTGTAAAATTTGAATTACGCATTGTTCAACTCTTTAATAATAAAAATGAAAAGTATTATAAACTTATGTGAATAATAAATAGTGATCGATTGAAGATAATAAAAATACCGTGAAAAGATAATATGAAATGAGTGTCTTTAACACGTAACCGTTACTTATATTTCGACTACATGAACTTGTTCAGGCTGTATTGATCAACAAAGAATTTATTGGCTTTTACTTTGATGATGTATCTTAATTCATAAATATTACCAAAATTTTTTAAACCTCCACTTCTTTAAATTGCACATATCAAATCTTTTTTTTTTTTAATATATTATATATTCATGTTACCCTACGTGGCCAAATTACATTTCGAAATCATTTAAAAATTACAAAAAGTTAACTCTTCTTGTCCACTCTCTTTCAATAAATAAATTTATAAAATCTACAGTTATTTACCGCTGCGTTTAATCTTTTTATTAAAATTTCCTGAAATTGTAGGTAATAATAATGGAATTAAATTCAATGTTATACAAACTTTCCCAACATATTATAATATAAAAAAAAATTAATCAATTTTAAATAATATACATAATAAAACTTATTTTAGTCCAGAAAGTATTACTATTTTAAATAAATATTTGCAAGATCTATCATTAAAAATATTCCTAATATATTGTCGATTAGCCTAAACAAATTTTATTTTTTATATAAGCAATAAATTGTATATTATATATATATATATATATATATATATATATAATTTTAACCTCAACTATAAAATAGTTAACATCCATCCTACTATAACGATTAGCTGCATTTGAATGTAATTTTTGTAAAATTAGTAATTTAGAATTGATTAATTAAATATATGTCAATGTATATAGCATAGATATGATATTTATACTGGTACTTTATCCAATAAAATTTTTATAAAAGTATTAAAATGAAATGTTACAGAATAAATTTTTCTTTGTTAGTTTATAAATATTTATTTTATTTAACAAAATATTATCTAAATTAAATTATTTAACCGTATATGCAACATAATTCTAATTTATAACTAATTTACATAACGGATACATTACATAAATTGATTCACATAAATGTAAAGATAATTCCTTGAGATTTGTAATATATCCGTGTGCATGTGTGTATGTATATATAAGTAAGTAAAATTTGTTTTCAAAATGTACTATTGTATAAAATATTGGATCTTGTTAATTAAAAATATAATCGCATATATTTCCTTAAAAAATACTTTATTATTACAGTTTACAAATTTTCTACATTTTATGTAATGTTGTATACGTAAAATTAATATAAGGCTTATTTCTGTAAAAAAAATGTTCAAGTCTAATTATATTTTTGATAAATTAAGATAGCAAAATTATTCATTGATCGTATCTTCTAAGATTTAAAAAAATTTAAGATGCTAATTTTAACTGCAAAAGTTTACATATCCTTTAATTGTTTATGATTTTGGCATTTTAGCGAATAATAATTGCTGTTTGTATAAAAATATATCTAGCAAATTAAGCATTTTACACGTTACGATATGTTAATGGAGAAATCGAGATTTGACACAAAGCATTATGTACGCTTAGACCCACATTGTTTTTCTTTTTGTTTGTCTAGTACCTTAAAGATAAATAATATTTTTTAATGTCTATTCCATTACTATTTAGCTACAATTGTTAAAAATAATTATACGAACGTGCATACTTGAATTATATTAAAAAATTGGTAAATAACTTGTAAAAAAATGTATTAAGTATATTACCATGGAGTTTATTATTAAGATAATATTATTATATTCAGTTAAAGTTTTTAATGCTATCTATATAAAAAATTTATTGCACACAATCAATAACAGTTAACTATTATCTTATACTCGAGATTTAAGATTATATATGAACTAATTTTGATATTTATACATACATTTAAACACTATAATATAAAACTTCTTAATTCTATTTTAAATATTCAATTTAAAGAATCATTTCTTATATATCTTCTAAGGTTCAATAGTATTGCAATGAATATATTGATTTTGATAAAAAATTTTTTTTATAATAGTAAGCATTATATAATGTAGAGTAATAATTCTCCTTCTTTTTTATTTGCGTATAGATGTGAAAGAAATGGATTACAATATCAGGATAAAATATATAGTATGATCAACGCACAAAATATTTATCTTACCAAAAGTTTATTAGCATTAGTTAACTTTATAGTAAAAGTTAACGCTGAAATCTTATTCTATTTGGATGTAATCATGGATTTTGCAGATCAATTTAGAAAAAGAAAATAGAAGATCCGCGTGAAAGATTTCAACAGCGCTATTCTGACAGTTATTCCCGTGTCATCCGGCCAGCGAAACTTCGGCTGCAACGCAAGTCAAGTCAACGATTTTTATAGCGGCTGCTTTTAGCCCCAAACTCCCAGACTTTTATTAAGAGGACTATAAGTAACAGGCGAAATAGGTCGGCCAAATGACAAGCCGAACAGGGGAAGCGGCTGTTAAATACGAGCAAGAAAAATGGGATGTGAATAACGAAAAGAAAAGGAAGGAAGGGAAGAAAATGGGAGAACGACAGATGAAACGAGAAAGAGTATGCGGAAAAGAAATACGTAAAAGTCCAAGGAATTAGAAAGTGCAAGAAAAAGAGTCCAAATGATGGAGACATGGGTTCAGAAAGTCAAAAGAGCCGTGTCAAGCGCATATAATTAGAACGCGAAGACATAACCAAGAAAATAAAATAGAAGCACGTAACGCAAAGATGCGAAGCTGTGCAAAGGGCAAGAAGTGCAAGATAGTAATGAAAAAAGTCAAAGCAAATTATTCATTGAAACATAGAATACAGTAAAAAGGAATTCTCCGCGTGAGAATCAGAGACGCAGGGCAATTATAGAAATCGTTCCTTCTGGGAGATCATCAACTTCTCTTCTCGCACTAAAAGGCTATTTTTAAGTTGAGAAAAATAGCCTGACTTCAATTTAAAACTCGAAATACCTCTGCTAGGAATTACCAATGAAAGATCGGGGATTATTTAGTAGTTAAGATTATTTTGTAGTATCAAATGAAAAAATGTTCAAAATCATATTATTGAAAAAAAATTAAATTGTTCAAAACTTACTGGATTTCAACAGTTAGTCCTTCAAATTGCTTATGAAATGAATAGTAATTTACATTTGAATTATCATTAAATTATTAAAATATTTATGCAAAAGCTTTTCGAATAATTTTATTTATTGCAAAAAGCAAATATTATTATATTAAATGAAATTCAAAACGTTATTAACTAAATATTAACGTTATTAACTAAATAATGAATCCTGTATATAAAATTTTCCCAGAATATTAACGCAGGCTCTATAATCTTGCAAGATTTCATTCTATTTTCATTTTTCTTATTAAATTAAAAAGGTCTCTTTTTCACAAAATAGAAGTTTTAGTTTTCTTAAATTATTACATTTAATATTTTTAATAATTTACTATAAAAAAATTCGTTAAAATTTCACTTTAATGCTAAAAATTTGTTACATATTGACATTCTCCTCATAAAGTAAAAAGTTATATCTACACAAATTTATAATATATTTTATAATAGACTTATTATATAATCAACATTACTTACAAATTTCAAATGTAATTGTAAATATAAAAATTAAGATTTGAAAAACCTGCTTTTGCTAATAAATATTGTATACTATTTTACACTTAGATAAACAAATGAATTTATATAAAAGCGTAAATATAATGATTTATTTTTAATAAAATGAAAATGTAAGGTAGGATAATAAATATCCATATCAATAAAATAATTTTACTTAAAAAATCAATATGCAAAAATAAAATAGATACAAGTATAATTCTGTTGACTATAAATACATTAATTCTGGAACAAACGAAAAAAAAGGATTAGTAAACTAATATTCAACAAATTGTATAATTCGTTTAAAATAAATAGGATACGGAATAGGATACTTTTTAGTATCTTTTAAAACACCACATAAAGTTTGTAAACTAAAAAATCAAACATTATCTAATCATCAGGTTTACTACAGAACACAGCAAAATAAAAAATAATACAATTGAATTCATCCATATCATTAATTAATTATTCAATAGTTATTTATTCGAAGCAACCAAATGACGGAAACTAGTATACCATTTTGATTTCATGAATTAAAATGAAATAAATTACACGTTTGTTTTATTAATTCACCAATTATCAAATTTAAATTTCATAAATTGATATGACTTAAATCTACTTATATATACATATATATATATATATATATATAAATCAAAGATATTTCCAAATAATTTGAAAATAGTAATATTATTAATTAGAGATAATTGTACAATAATTAAATAAATATCACACTTAAAATATTGAAATTGTCCTTAATTTCCAATTTATCTTAATTTTTCTATGACTATTTTTGAAACATTAATTCTTCTTATCTATAATCTATTTAACAAAATATAGATTCTTTTTAATTGAATAATAATATATTTGGATTTATTTTGAATACAAAATTATTTTTATTGCTTGTTATTTTATCAACAGTATTAAATATTAAGTATCAATTATAAGACAGATTAAAGTAATACAATATTATTTTATTAAAACAAATAAAATAGCTAATAACATATTACAGAAATAATTAAAAAAGATATAAATTTTAATCCCTGATATATATCTTAAATTTATAAGAGTTTTATAAAATAATTTTGTTCGATGTAAATTAAATTTCTGTAATTTCCCTTCGCTCCCTTCTACATGTTCAAAATGATTTCTCTTTTTTTTTTAAGAATAAGTAAAGCATTCAAAATTTTCATATAGAACACCTTAATACATGAACTGTAATTTCAGGTTTTCTTTAATATTAATAATACTATTTAGTGTCCTAAAAACAAACGTTTGTTTTATTTTAAATTTAAACTCCTTATCAACAAATAATCAACAAAATAAGTCACCTATAAATCGATAACAACTACAATACTTCATTAGAAAGGAATGTACAAATTCTGTGAAAACTTAAACCAAACTCAAATAGATGAAATTAATGTTATTTATTATAATAAAATAAAAAGAGAATCTGCTGTAATTATCATATAACATCCATCATCAAAATTATCAAAAGGGCCTTGATGTTCGTCAATTTGAATTTGTAAAAAAGTATTTCAAATTACTACTGCTTGAAAAATTTACCTTTAGATAACTTAAGAAAAAGCCTATATATGCACTATTCATTACTTAATAAAATGAATTAACTTCTATTCACGATAAAAAATATTTCAATATAATAAAAGTAAGCATACTGTTATCCAGAATATGTTTCTACATAAGTTTTAAACACGATCAATATTAATTATATATTTTAAATATATATTCAGTTTTTTAATAAAATAAAAAAGATATATCAAATCAATAAATATGATAACCAGTAAAAATTAAACATAAAATTGTATGAACTAATTAGCAAATATTTAATCCTCTGAAAGACTAGTATTTCAAAAAGTAGTATTTCAATAAAATGAACAGATTTCATCATATGTATCAAATTAAAAATAATTTTAAGAAGAATTTAAATTTCATGTAACTAAATGATAACATAACAGGTTCAATTGAAATAACAGCAAAGTATTTATTATAAATAAAAATATTAATCTTCATTCGACGGATGTAAATTTTTATTTTAATTTTACATTGAACGATTAATCAATATTGATTACCAAAAACCTCTCAAAATCTGATGAAAATGAATTTTTAAAAGCTTATAATATATTTTCTCTTATTAAAATTTTATATCGATTTATAAATTAGAATATTATTACTTATTGTTAGTATTTATATTTTTATTTTCATAAATTTTATAAATTATTTATATAATTTATAGTAAATATTATATAATATACTTAATACAATATAGAAATTAAAATCATAATTAAAATTATAGTTTTTAAATATTAACGTATATAAATATAAATATAAATATAACGTAAATATTAATACTATTTTTTAAAATCTTAAGTATCGTATTGCTTCTTATGCAATAATTAAATATAATGCATTATAAATTCTATTTTTAGCCAATACTGTAATAAAAATATTGTGATATATTTAATTATATAAATATATTTTAACTTAATGTGTAAAATGTTTCAAACATAAATATACAAATATGTAAGAAACTCAATCAATAATTTCTTCAAACCATTAATTCCTATTAATATAAAAAAGAATTTTAATTCTTGTCATAAATCTTTACATATTTTTTTATATAAACAAATACAACACTTATAAATAATTTGTTATGAATTTATTCAAATTTTCATATGTAAATTTTATATTTATATAAAAAAATAATAATACATAATTATTAGAAATATATTTAAATATTCAGGCAGTCATCTTATTAAATTTGAACATGAAAAGTAAAATATAGATGTTAACATTAATACAAAAAGGTAAACAGTGAAGAATGTTTATATGTTATAAGTTTTTGAAATAATTTCAAATTTCAGCATGAAAATTTCTTTGTTGCACCTAAATACAAAAAATATATAGATACATGATACAATTATATACAAATAAGGCAAATCACGGAAGATATGTTATGCGGGATAAAATTAACATAAACGGGCGGCTCTGACGATTGAGTTTAAAAATGTATTTCAAACCGATTTAAGATAAAATTTAAGATACTTTCCAGAAGTATCAAGTAGAAGGAAGCATCTATGCGTAAATTAGAGTTGGTAGATTAATAAATTCATACCTTCACTCTGAATCACGCGTTCCTTCCATAGTAGATTTTCAGGTAAATTAACTCCTCATTGCAGATTGGCAATGGCAATTTAGACGTTAATCCTAAGTAATCTTTCATAACGCTCTTGCTAACCGCAATAATCAAAGTAAAGCTATTCTATTTATGATATCACAGTAATTATTATTCTCAAAATTATTGTTTCTTAAAACACAGATATTTATTTATTTTTTTTATTAATGCGTCGACGCCGCGATTTATTAACATCTTTGCTTATGCTTTTGAAGCATAGTCCTCGTTATTTTTTTTCCTTTTTACACTGTAGCGTGAACATAAATTTATCAACCTGTTACAAATATTACTTTACTTTAAAAAGAAAGCTCTACTAATGTCTTACTAAAATGTTAAATTTCAATTTATTGCTATCATATTTATACAAAACTAGTATTACTAATACATTTTTTACATACAATCAAAACACTATTTTTTAAATTTACTAAATTTAATAAACTGTTCAAACATCTTTATAGATAATATTATACTTCATAATTTAATAATTTATTTGAAAATACTTTAATCTCATTTGTTAAATTATATCGATGTGACGATTTTTTTATACTAACTTCGATATTTTTGTCAAGCAATAATAATCGAATACAAAAAATTCTAATTAATTTATTGATCCTTATTATTTTATTTATGAAATATACCTCCTTACTTGATATTAAAAATCAGAAATCACAAGAATCTTGTATCTATAATCGAAATCTTTATTTATTTTAAATATTAAAAATTTCAAATTTTTCTAGATTACAATTAACTTTTTAAATATGTTAATTATATTATAGTACAATTTTAAAAAAACTACAAATTCCCTTAAACCTTGTGTTAAAATACTGATATTTTAGCTTATACAAATGGTGTAATCTATATCTAACGAGTACTACTTACAAAAAATATATAACAATAAATAAAAGGTCACTGACTTTTATCCTATAATCCATGCGCGGGTTTATGCAGTAAAGCAAGAAAAAATGTTCTTTTCGATTCAAAGAATAAATCCCTTTTGTTATTAATAACATAATAATTATTGTAAATTATTGTAAATACAAGTTTTTAATCCAATTGTACAAATAAGTTATTCTAATTATACTGATATTGATTATTCTAACTATGTATTCTGTATTTATAAATTGTAATAAATTGTAATAAATTTGTAATAAACAATAATTTTCACTTAAAGTAGATAACAAATTACTGATAAATATTTAATTTAAATATAATTACATTCTAGCTAAGAGCTCTAAGTCATTTTGATATAATTAATTAATTTATTTATAAATAATATTTTTTATATAATATTTATAAATTATTTTGCACAATTAACTTAAAAAAATTAGTAGTTTTTATTGATACTAAATCATTTTTAAATAAATTTATTATCTCTCTAACTTTAAAATTAAAAAGATAATGATTTACCATCAATAACTAAAATAAATTAAATTTAAAAATGAGAAAGCAAAGTTAAAAAGATTTGTAATAAGAATATAATAAGAATAACTTCCAGCGGTCACCTCTGTTACATAGAATGTGGGATCGAAAAATAGTCATTCAGTATTGCAAAATACGAAACGCGATGACATCTATTAACACACGCATGCAAGCAGGTGGAAACGTTACATACGCGGGTCGTTTATGAATAAATCTATTTATCCAATTCAGCTCATTTACATGCGAATTCATTCTTATGTTTTGCCACTAAATGACGTCGCTTTATCTTTGCCAAATTAATTTTTCAAAATTAAATAATTTAATATTTGATGGATTGATCGATAAGAGTGTCTTAATTTTAGCAACTAAAAGTTTCAATTTTGTTAATCTTTCTATGATTGGTCGATCTTCAATTTATTTAATTTGTAGTATTAATATTTCTATTATCAATGTAAACCTATAAAGTGTGGTATGATATTAGATTAAATTATATTATGGCATTTAAATTAATAAAAAATTTTTAATAAATATTTATGTTTTGATTAATAATTTTAATTTATCACTTCATATTTTTTATACTTTTACAACATTTTTTGCATTCAAATAACAATTATATTATGTTGAATAATAAAAAAGATACAAAAAACCATATTACTTTTTACAGATCATCTGACAAGTTTTAATAACTCAAAAATTCGTATACTAAAATTTTATTGAATGTTGAAATAAAAGAAATCAAATAATAATATAGCAGATAATAAATAATATATAAATAAAAATCACAATAACAAAATTAGTAGCATAATTAAACGTTCAAATTATAACTATCATTTATTAAAATGTTAAATGTTTATTTGAAATACACTTCTCATTAGACTTTTCTTTAAGAATCATTTTTAATATTCATCTTTCCAAAAATTCTTCAAAATCTAAATTATTATTAAAATACATTAATAAAAATTAGAAATTTCTTTTTTATTTGAAATAACATCAGAAATCATTAGAATTAAAGGTTCATTGTAGGTTTAGCTATTAGCAATATTCTTTTTTCATTGAAAGATCACTTTATAAATTTGCAATAAATAAATAAAAATTTCAAAAAAATTGATTTACTCATCATTTGATGAGTTTGATGATTGTAAATCATAATTACAAAATTCAGAGATATGCCTTTAATTTATAAAAATATAAACAAACTAACATAATTGATATAATAAAAATATTACTAAATACAAATCAAATTAAATTAAATTAATAGTGTTTAAATATATTTTACCGTAGACTAGCAGAAATTAGGTAGGTAAAATTCTTAGAGCTATAATTCTGGACGTGTGATATTAGTGCCAATTTTACTACATTTATAGTATTAAAATGATATATATATAGTACACTACTCTACATAGTACACATTAAAATCTTAGTATCGTATTTTAGCTTCTAGTTGCAATTATAGTTTGTAGTTTGGAAGTTTTTAGAATGCTTCAAATTGAAAGCCTTCAAATTATTACATTTACAAATTTAAGGCAATATAACAGAAATGTAACCTACGCTAGTCACTATCAGTTAAAATATATAAGTAGCTTGTTATCCAATAAGTATTAGAATTTTTATTAAATTATATTCAAATAAATAAATTAAGTATATTTATATGCATTGGAAAAAAATGAATAAAACACTATTTTTAATATTTGTGTGAACAAATTATGATGCATTATTACTTACTTATTTTCCTAATAGAACTGTCGCATACTCTGAATTTTAAAACTTTTATAACACAATCAACACAGTTGATAAAAATGAAAATATTGATTACACATTGTTTTCAATTATAATTTAACCTTTTCATAATAAAAGTAATATTTAATATCATCCTTTGCTTCTTTGTTAAAATTTATATATTCTATACAAAATTGTATCTTCTAGCATCTGTGACGACAAACATTAAAATTTCTTAACATATTAATATATTGTAGGAATAATGCATTAATAAAAGAAAATTATACGGGCAGATTTTGCGACACATTATCCGTAAATTTCTATTAATACTAAATACATTTTCAATTGACATGATGTCTTCTTTCATAAATAAGAAATTATTACTTACATTTTCATATTACTAAATGATTAAAAAGATTCAAGAATAAACCAATTTATTACTTTAATATCGATTTTATGATAAAAAAGTATAATCTCTAACTATAAAAATATAATTCATTTTAATATTTAATTTCCGACTATGTATATATACCATGTAATATACATTTCTTTCAACTATAATAATTCTTTAACTTTGCTGTCATCACTTTAGATAATCTACAAGAAAGAAAATTATTGAATACAAAAATTAATTGAATATATTCAATTATAACAATACCTAATTATAAAATTTGCATAAAATTATTGTTGAGCATTGATATTTCTACTTCCAAAATACAACTACCTGAATATAATTAAATCATTGATGATGACTTTTTTGTTCATATTTTATATTTTATTAAATAATGCAACAGTTTTCTTTTAAGACATTTGACAATTTTCATATAAAATTCGTAATTATTAATTGAAAAGAATATTATATACTGTTATTTAAATAATTATTCAAATTCATTGAAAAAAAAATACTAACACTCAGTCAATTTGCTTTTACTCTTATAATTCATTTTATTATTTTATTAACAATAGTTACACACCAAAGATAAATACAAATGTATTATTCTAAATTATTATAATTCAATAATTTCTCAAAGATATTTCAATAGTTTGAAGGAGCTTAATAATTAATAAATAAGAAAAATGAAAATTCAATGCAAGAATCAAGGTAAATTAGAGTAGTTTAATCAATTATCATATAAATTTTAAAAAAAGTTAATAATATTCTTTGTAAAAGAATATTTATAACTATAATTATACATATAATTTATATATTTTGAAAATAGTTTCAAAATGCTTTTCAAATGTTAGGTTCAAAAGTTGTTTTACCACGTATGTGTTGCTATATGCGAATGAAAATATTTGCAGTCATATTTTTCATTTTTTTTCAATGATCTAAACTTAATATGTATTAATTAGGAATATGTATTAATTGCCTTTCTCATGGTAAAAATACTGACTGAGAAATTACAAAGTAATCCTACTTATATTAAATTTTAGAAATTTTAGAAAGTTTTTAATTATTGTATAATTATAAATGGTTTTGTTCCAATAATATATTTATAATAACTATTCAAATACTTAATCCTAATTGTTTTATATATAAGAATTTTTATGTCGATCGATATTTTTATGTCAATATATATAAATAGATATAAAATGCATTGAATCGGTAAAAATATTGATTGAAAATGCTGTAGTTGTTAATTCTATTAATATATATGTTAAGTTTCTTATATTAATACTATTAATACTGTAACTCTTAAGTTTATAGTTTTAATGTTGCTTATACCAGAATTAATGAGACAAGAGAGTACTACTTGTTAATTTTCAATTCATAAACTTAGACTATTTCAACTTTTTAATGTCGAAGAAATTTGTAAGCACCAAAGAACAAAAATGGAGAAATTCGGTCCTAAAATATTTTGTATAGTTGGCATGTCGAGGTGCTTCTTTATCTCAATGAGCCCCGAATGTAGTACCTTAAATTTACCAACAAAAAATGTTAATGCTATTTCTACTAAAATATGAAATTAGCAATGAGAAAAGCCGAACTTGTAGCTCGTCGCGGTCCCTTTCCTCATTCATCTTTTAATTCCATCGCTCTCTTAATCTCCAATCTCCTCAGAATTGACAGCTACTCTGGTTAAGTGCTGGCAGCGCACGCGTGCTGCTACTGATTGGAAGAGAAAGAGGCAATGAACTATCAAGTAGTCGCTTGATGCCGCTTGATGTCGACGAACGACGAACGGACAAAATTCTTGAGGATCAGAAAGCCAAAAGAAAACGAGTAGAGAGTCGACAGAGCCGAAATTCTCTCCGCTTTATTTCGATTTGTCGTATATCCGCCTCCCTAAGACCCGCGGCGCGTTCATGTGTGTGGTCCTGTGCGCGCTCGCGTGTCGACCCGACAGCAACCTTTTTTACCGACCTCCACGAGGACTCGAACGCCCACTCTCTTCTCTTCATGAGCTTTTTAGCGGCGAATTCCAAAATCCTTTGGTGCAATAGTCGCTCCCTGGTAACCGATGGCACTTATGCAATCGTTGTGGCTTCTGTTGGAACACCAATGTGGAGTAATGTACGGGAAGGGAAGAAGGCAATCGGCTCAAAGGCTCCGAAAATGGGCGGCACGACTTTCTAAATTTCACGCTAAATAAGACTTCTCTGCATGAACAAGACGTAAAATTTTATAACTTCATCTAGCTAACGAGTTAAAATATTTTTATTTTTACACTTACTTTTGCCAACGTTACAAACTTTTGATCGACACATGCATTATATTTTATTCAATTTCCTAATATAAAAAAAAAAAACAATTAATTTATATTTACAAAAATTCAATTATAGAATTCATTTATTTGTGATCACTTTTCAATTCACTCACTTTTTAAATACTCATTTTCATTTTCATTTTTTATCACTCAAGAAGTTCTTTGTTAGATCAATAAATACTACAATATTAACTTTAATATGTTATTTAAATAACTTTATTATTTATTTTATACTATCTAGAAATAATTTATAGAAATAATATTTTTCTAGATAATATATTTTTAAAAATTTCTTCTTTTTAATATAATATAAATTATCTATATACACCTAAAAAAAAACTCATATGTGCATAGTTCTTCATAAACCATAAATAAATAAAAAAAAATTTTTTTAATTTCTCTACAAATGAAATATTTATTTAATCTATAAAAAACATAATTGAACAGATTTTTAATACATACATAAAAAGTATTTATATAAGAACATTAAATAAATAATATATTTTAAAATGATATTAAAAAATTGTAAAAAAAACATTTAATTACAGTACATATAATTTAAAACTCCTTGCAAAAAAATTAAAATGAAAAGTCACTTAATAAACAACAGAATGTTCAGTAGTATTTAATAAATATTATAGTCGTAGGCTAAAATATTTTAATATCAATTAAATTTTGATAATACATTGTCAAACATATAATATTCAATAATATAGATATACCAAAATTATTAATTTGAGAAAAAAATTAGTTACATAAAGTAAGGAGCCATACATATTGAATCAGATTAATATAAAAAGTAATTTATATTAATTTATAATTATATGAATAAGTTTTTAGGTACTTAAAATTATTCTTTTAATTGAATTAAAATTAAACTGATTTAAATTTACTGTTAAAACAACATATTTCATTTACTTAAACATTTCTGAAGTTACAAAAATTTTAAATAAAAGTCTTACTCTTAATCATTATCTTAAACTATAATTAAGATATACAAATAATTCTAAACAACCCTTCAATTTATTATTTCTGACTAGCCATGTTATTTTAATTCGACTTCCACATAAATATATAATCATCATTTACAATGTGAGTAGATTATAATACATATGAAGTTTTTAAACTAAAAAAACTCACCTTAGAAAATAGCTATCAGTCTTCAATATTTAAATATTAAATATAATTATCAAATTTAATTTTATTAATAATAATAATTATTAAAATTATTATCATTTATTTAGTTAACCTGCTTACAAATTAATATGATTAAATAAATTTAACGCTTATATTTTATATATTTGTAACTGTTTAAGTATACTATACTAAAACATGAATTTTCTTTTTATATAGTAGCTTGTACATACAATGCAAGTTACAATTTTAAATACATAAATCATAACAGTAAACAAAATAGTGTCGTTTTCACGATTTTGTCAAAATATTCATAAATATTACCACAATAAAATATATCATTAAAAAACATTTTTAAATTTTCTACGAATACTTCAAATACAATATTTTTAATTACTTACATATATTAAAAATATCTAAATTTTTAAAATTTTATAATATAAGATATGATACTCACTTATATTTGTGTATATTAAATAGAATAAATAGTCTTTCAGATTATATTAAGCTTTTAAGAATGATGATTTTATAAATTAATGGAGATAATATATAATTCTTTGTTATAGAAATATGTCTATACCCTTTTGTCTCAAACAAGAAAAATAAAGTTTTTAATTTAACGAACAAATATTTTATATAAAAAATTTTTAAAAAAATTAAATGAATTTCTAAAGTTTAAATCACTTTGAATTATTGATTATGATTTTTATAATGAATCATATGAAATTTAAATAATGAAAACTAATTTAATAATATATTAACTGAAATATGTTACATTATTATATTATTATATTATTATATTATACAATAAATAATTTTGGTCTTGTATAATGAAAAAAAGCCGATAAATAAATATTATATTCTATTACATCAACTTTTAAATTAAATCAAAAAGATTAAAATACATAGAATTAGTTCTGCTAACTGACTGATTCCGCCATCTTAAGGAAAATCTCGAAACCGTCAGTTAGCTTACCAACACACGTCATATTCACTGCAGAAAGGTAACGCTTTTTAATGAATAACAGCGTGATAAGAGGTCGTAAATCTTTATGCTTTTTCATAATAAGTGATACCTTTCGTATAGGATTTTTTCAAGTACAGCAGATGATCAGATTGATGAGCCGCAACCAAAACAACTGATGACATAATTTACTAGAGCATGTTCCGGGTTGAAAATGTGCATCCACTCGTAAAAAAAAGTTTCGAAAGATCCGCCACACTTTAAAGTCATTGGCTGTAAAGAATACTAAGCGTAGAAACTAGTAGTCAAAAATGACAAAACAACTGAGATAAAAACGCAAAATTATTAATCAATTAGATAAAATAAACGATAAAAGACAATCCGCTGGAAATATTCTGTTGAGTGTACATTTTTGCTGAACTTGGCGGTATGTTGTCGCCGGTTGATAACAAAACTTACCTTGTTGGCGGGCCCCTTTGGGGCCAGGAAATCACACACCACCTAAGAATTCTCAGCTTACTTTACAGACACTCACTAAAGAAAGCACTCACGGAACGATTTTGCTATCATAGACCGATTAGAATACTCGCGACGTTGCGGCCATCTTGAAAATTTTCGCGTAGTCTGTCAGAAGGAGGCGCGAGGCGTGATATAGAAGAGTTCCATCAGTAGTAACAAGATGGCGTGCTGAAAAACAATTCAATAAAACAGTATGATTGATCTGACGATCATGTAACACCAATTTTTTTTAATCACCGGAAATAAAAATTAATAATTTAATTATATGATTAATGTAATAAACTTAATGCATATTATGAATTCTACTTTATTTACTCTAAGTTACTTTTAAATCTACTGATTAAATATCATATTCAATTATTAAGTATCCATTTTATTATTTTTTAAAATATGTAGTAAAATGTTAGCCAAATTTTTTAATTAAGCATGCATATGTGAATATTTTGAATGAATTACGACATATGAATGCATGCATGTATACCTATCTATATATAAAGAGATCGTTGAGTTATGTATCGAAATTTCCTAACAAATTGAAAATAATGAATTAAAATTTCAATTTCTATTTTTCAATATAATAATTCAATGAAATAATTTTTTTATACAGAAAAAATACATATAATATTAGTTAATTTAAAATTGTATTTTTATAATAGAGAAATAACAAAAAAAATAAATAGAGAAATAACAAAAAAATAATAAACCACTACCATTCTACCAATAATTATAATTAATTTTTATTTTTTTATAAAATACAGTGTTAATTTACAGGTTTAACATGACGGTTACTAACTCGCTTATTTAGGCGTACCGCCAATTTGTGAAATATAAAACGTTGCTGGGTGGGCATATATTTATAGATTTCACAAATTTGCGTAAGAGTGTGTTTAATTTACTATTCTCTGTTGCTTGATTATCGGAAAAAATATTTCTTTTTATTTGTAAATTATGAATTGGTTAAATGAGACATTGAGAAATTTTTTAAAAATTTTAAGTCATGCTCTATCTAAAATGTATATATATATATTAAAAATAAAATTGTATTTCTAAAATCCAACGGATTGCTTAATAGATTATTAGAGTATAACAAAATATTATTAAAATATATCCCTATGATTAATTATCAGTTGTCTAAGAGAAAATACATTTTTATCGAGTAAAATTAGATTTAAACGAATTTTTTCAAAATAATAATGAATTAATAAAAGTTTATAAATTTTATAAATGAATTGTGGGTATAATTATTTGAAGTTTTTCATAAATAAAAAAAAAGTTTTATTTGTTCGTTAAAAAATACATGCTTATTTATTGAAGTAATCGTGTAAGTACTAATACAACGTCTATTATGCATTTTATTAAAAGAATAATTAATATTGATAAAACATTTTCGTGAGACGTGAGAGTATCAATTATTAGTATATAGTAAACTTATAAAAGTAATTTAAAGTGCAAAATTTAATATTGAATTCCTACTATTACTAAAAGAATAACCTACTTTATTGTCTGTTCATTTTTCAATATATATTCTTTCAGCTTATTCATTTAAATTATTAGTCATATCAAATGTTCATTGACAAATAATTATTTATATTTTACTTTTAAAACAATTTCTATTTGAAACATTTATCAATGATATAATTTAAACATCTGCGTTGAAAATAATTATTTAAACATAATAATCAATTAAGATATATTGAATATATTCACTCTTGATATATATATTCACAATATGATATTCATTTATTAAAAGCTATAGTACTTGAACTTAATAAGTAGTTAAGGTTGGTGGTAGCTAACAGATAATGCATAAAATGCTGATATAAGCCCTGCGTAAAAATGATTTAAAGCTTATTGGTTATTTTTATTGTATGCAATTTCAGTGTAGAATAGTATAAATCTTTTAAATATGTAACAATAATATTGATATATTACTATAAAAGTTTTATGTAATATTACTTTATTTTGAAAAGAATTGAAAAATAATTCATGTATTGATTTATATCATATTTTTGAAAAATAGATGTTTATCTTATATTTGTCGATTAATTAAATTATATATTTGAATATATTTTCTCGGTTTATTTATCTATTTGTATACCTTTTATTGCCAAAATAATCTATGTGACTGAATTTTAAGTACAGTACTTTATAAGATAAATTTAAACGACATAATGCTATGAATATACCAATATAATAAATAATCTAATACAATAACTTAAATAATTAGTAAATTTTTATATATATTTATATACATAGTTCAGATTATACATTATACATTAGAACCAATAACCTTAGATGTCAATTGCGCATGCTTCTGCTTCAGTAGTCTCCAAATTAAAAAATTTTTGTTTGTCAAAACAAATAATTTTCATATTAAATAATGATAATAAATATTAAACATTATAATAATAATACAATCTTTTAAGACAAAGAAATGATTTATTTCAAACTATACTCGTGTCATTTCAATTCCTTACAAGTTTCAAGAGCAGTCATTAAACTACCGAAACACCAATGAAGATATGAACACAAATATACAATCGTTATAAGCAATTAAATACGAAGAGAGACATATAATTGCTGCTCCGTCTCTTTGCGGCATCACCCACAACGAGATAAAGAAAAGCGAAGCTTGTGGTGCCTATCAAAAAGAACTAACTGGGAAATCACGAGATGTCGCCACTCCATGGTTAGAGCTCACACCAGTTATCTGATAGAGGCAAAAGACCAACTTCAGGATGCAGCATCTGTAAATGACGAGACGAGGCCGACAGAACTAACGGAAGTATAGGCGAGATTCGTAGGAAGAATCAAACTACGATATACAAAGATAAAATATCTCAGAGGAGCAGTGCAAGTGAGTAGCCTGTGGCTTGGATGGAGGGGATTGGCGATGGCGGCAGTGGTGGTAACTCGGGCGAGTGGCACACGACTAGTACGACGAACGTCGACCAGTTCGTAAGAAGGTCTTACTCAGTTCGTTGGCGACGGTAGTGATTACATCCGTCACTGTCTCCAATTTGAGCGCGTGCGTCGCAATTTTGTACATCCGCGTTGAGCTGCAATAGGTGCGTCTATCCCTAGAATTCTGATCTGTAATCGGAATACCAAGAGAGAAAAAGAGGAGCTCTACACGAATTCTACGAGTAAGTTTCTATGTCCTATCGTTGTCAACTTAAATTTACTGATTATTTCACGCTTGTCATACCCCGTTACTTATTCTACTCGTCTTCTCAAACGAGCTCATGGCTAATTTTTGTTCGCGAATTTTCGAGGTGCTCTCTGATATAAGTACTGAGATATTCGTGTTCTCTTTCACAAATTCGATTCGCTTTATCAGAACTTTTCGAGTAAATGCGATGTCTGCTTACGATTATGTGTACTTATAACTCGACACAACTAACGAGATATTCACTAACCAGAATATCGATGAACAATTTCGTTTTTCGTTTAATAAATCAAAAAAATTTTTGCCACATTTTTGCCACTGTCATTAGCTAAAATATTTAATTCATTTTAATTTATACATGTAAATATTTTAACATATTGTCGGTACACATACATTTGGCCTTTATGTCTTTTATTCTCAAGCTTGTTACTTAGTTACTTTTTTTTTCTTTATTTTTATATATTACCTGCATATGAATTATATCACTAATTTTGACATTGTTAAACTTATATTCTTTATTAAATACGCTTACAATACGTAGTTATTGATTATAGATCTTTAAAATTATAAGATAATATATAGGTAATATAATATACCAATTTCGTAAAGAACTTTATAATAGCAGTTTAGGGTCGAAGGAAGGCCTTGAAATTTTAAGTAGTAGGATACTGTAAAATCAATATTTTCACATGTTTCATACATGACATCTTATAAATTATAGATATTGAAAATGTATCCAGTTCTTAAGATTTTTTGACGTTTTACTTAATATACATTAAAACACAATTTGAAACGTAAATTTCTGTTAGATATCAAAACGTATATATTTTACATATTCAAACAAGACGTTATACGATTTGCACGATTAATATTATTTATATGTACTATATATAATACATAGAAATTAGCAATTTTAAATTTAATTTTTGTCGTAATTTACATTGTTAAACAATAATCATATTATGAATTATTGCAATATATTAATAATAAAATATATAATAATAGAAACACAAAAAAAGATATGCAAATAGTTATAAACCTATTATTGTTTATTAATGTCTTTTTAAAAATATTTAATTTTATAATTGATTAGTTGAAAGAATCGTTGAATTCTTAAACAACTCATATTAATAGAAATTATAATTATGAGAAGTTGTTTCATTTCATTTCAGAAGTTTATAATAAATATAATAAAAATTATAATTTTAATATTTTTAAAATATTTAATTTCCTACAGTGTCATATATTTATAAAAATATTTGTTGATTAAAAGTCAATAAAATTCTGTACAAAAAATAGCGTATTCATGTATATTAAACTACAAATTTTATGTTCTCAATATTACATAAAGTCTTTGCTAGCTAATTGACTAAAGATATTATTGAAAATTAAAAAGTATTCTTTGTTGGTATAGTGTCAATATTCTTAAATGATTATAAATATTAAATAAATATTCGATGTATTATTTATATAATAAGATAGATTTTCACAATTTAATTTAAATGAAGAAAATAAATTGTCATGAAATTAATTAATTATTCAAGTACTGGTTTTTAGTTAATGGATCGTGAGAGTTCATGATCTTTGTTAGTGGTTAAATTTATCAAAACATACATCTTGACACACGGATTCATAACAACATTCTTTATTACGTGACTAGTCGCTGACAGTTAATTAATTAATTAATTAATTGACAATCAATTTTGTCGATGAATTGGTTTTATATAAAAAGATTAATATAAATATTAAAGTAAACATTCAAAATATTGTATTTTAACATATTATTTTTCACTAACAATATT